TTTATCTTGATGATGTGCTATATTATATTAGTTTTTTTTAAATGTTATTCCATCCAGCATTGCATACCTGCAATGCATCCTACTTGGTTGTGGTGTATAAGTCTTTGTATGTGGTTGAATGGATTTAATAATTTTTTTGAGAATTTTTGCATCTATTTTCATGAGATATATTTGTCTAATTTTTCCTCTCTTATAATATCTTTATCTTATTTTGGTATTAAAGTAATTCTGGCCTTATAGAATGAGTTGGGAAGTGTTCCCTCTGCTTCTATTTTCTGGAAGAGATTGTGGAGAATTGGTGTCAATTCATTCTTAAATGTTTGGAAGAATTAAAGAGTAAAATCATTTAGGCATTGTGCTTTATTTTTTGACAGGTTATTGATTATTGATTCTATTTATTTAATAGATATGGGCTTCTTAAGATTATCTATTTCTTCTTGATTGATGTTTGATATATTGTGTCTTCCAGGGTTTGGTCCATTTCATTGAAGTTATCAAATTTGTGGGCATAGTGTTTTTCATAATATCTCTTAATCATATTTTTAACATCCTTCGGGTCTGCAATGATGACCACTCTTTTATTTCTGATATTGGTCATTTGTATTTTCTTTTTTTTTGGTTATCCTGGATGGAAATTGATCAACTTTATTGATCTTTTCAAAGAAGCAGAATTTGGTTTTGTTGCTTTTATCTGTTGTTTTGTGTTTTCAATTTTGTTTATTTATGATCTTTTATTATTATTATTATTATTATTTCTGTTCTTCTACTTTGCTTTAGATTTAATTTGCTCTTCTTTCCATAGTTCCTCATGTGGAGTTTCAGGTTCTTAATTTTAGATGTTTCTACTTTTCAAATGTATGTATATATTGATATGAATTTCCCTCAAAGTACTGCTTTCACTTCATCCCACAAATTTTAGTAAGCTATTTTCATTTAGTTCAAACTATCTGAAATTTCTTTTGAGACTTATTTTTTTGATCCATGAGTTATTTAGAAGTGTGTGTTTAATTTCCAAATATTTGGGAATTTTCCAGATATATTATTGATTGATTTATTATTTAAAATTCATTATTGATTCCTCATTTAATTTGTTTTTCATTTCTCATTTGTCATTTGAAAAAATATTTTATATGCTTTCTGTTGTTTTAAAATTACTATGGTATGTCTATGGCCATACCACCTTGAACATGCCTAATCTTGACTAAGGTATATTTTATGGCCCACAGTGTGATCTCTATTGGTGAATGTTGTATTAGAGCTTGAGAAGAATGTGTGTTGAGCTGTTTTGGGGTGAAGTATTCCATAAATGTCAATTAGATCAAGCTGATTGATAGTGCTGCTCAATTCATTTATATTCTTTCTGATTTTCTATCTGCCAGGTCTCTCATTTTACCAACAGAGAGGTGCTGAGGTCTCTACCTAGAACAGTGAATTTGTGTATTTTTTCTTTTAGTTCTGTCAGTTTTGACCGCAAAACTGATTTTCTATTGTTAGGTCCATATGCATTTAGGATTACTAAATATTCTTAAAGGTTGATCCCTTTATCATTATGTAATGCCCCCTTTATCCCTGATAATCTTCCTCATTCCGAATTCTTGTTTGTCTTAAATTAATATAGATATGTCAGATTTATTTTTATTAATATTATCATGATATATCTTTCTCCATCCGTTTACATTAACCTACCTGCATCTTTATATTTAAAGTGTGTTTCTTGTGTTTTCACTCACTCTAACAATGTTTGTCTTTTAGTTGATGGAGTTAGAGCATTAACATTTAAAATGATTATTGATCTAGTTCAATGAATATAAAGTAATCTAAATTCACCTTCAAATAACACTATACCACTGGCCATGTAGTGCAGCTACCTTATAATAGAGTATTTCCAATTCCTCCTGCCATCCCTTATGATATTGTTGTCTTTCAGTTCACTGATCCATGTTCTGTAATTAGCTAATACATTTATTATTATCATCACTTTAAACAGCCTTTAGATTAGTTATTATAAAAATAAGAAATAATGTAACATTTTATTTTACCTTCACTTGTTGCTTTTCCAGCGTTCTTTCTTTCTATTATAGATTGAGATGCTTTCAAGATTTTCTCTTTGACTTTGGTCCTCCGAGGTTTTACTATGATACGCCTACATATAGATTTTGAAAATGATTGTTTTGCTTAATGTTCTCCGAGCTTCTTGGATGTATAGTTTGGTATAGGCCATTAATTTTGAAAAATTCTCAGCCATTATTACTTCAAATATTTCTTCAACACTGTTCTATTTTTTTTCTCCTTTTAATATTCCAATTGCATGCATTTACACCTTTTGAAATTGCCCCAGTGTTCTTGAATATTCTGTTTTGTCTCTCTTTTCTAATTCTTTTTTATCTTTGCATTTCTGTTTGGTAAGTTTCTCTAGACTTGTCCTCACGTTCATTAATTCATTCCTCAGCCATGTTCAAGGAAATTTATTTCTAGCACTTACTTTTGGTTCTTTCTTAGAACTGCACCCTGTGCTTACATTATTCCCCTGTTGTTGAATGTTGTCAATTTTTTACATTAAATCCCTGGACATATTAATTATGGTTATTTTACATTCTCTGTGTGATAATCCAAAAGCATATCTGTGTCTGGTTCTGATGCTTGTTTTATATCTTCAGACTGTGTTTTTTCTTACCTTTTATCTTCCCTGGTAATTTTTTTGCCGTTGGAAGGCAGAAATGACATATTAGTTAACAGGATCTAAGGCAAATAGAGTTTTAATGTAAGGTTTTATGTTAATCTGGCTACAGTTTGTCTAGTAGTCTCAGGTTCCAGAGGCTTTGAATGCATCTAGTGCCCTTGACTTTGTCACCTTTGTTATCTCTGGGCTTCCCAAAGAATTCCTCCTTAAATAGGGTCTGCAATACAGCTCTGTCATCTGTGATATGATGTGACTTTATTGGAGTCTTGTCGATGTGGTGGTGAGGCATGGGGGAGTAGAAACATTTCATGAGTCCGTGATTAACCACTTCGGGACCAGCGTCGACTGTAGTCGACAGCCACAGATGAACACGCACAGCGACTATAGCAGACAGCCGTGCTATGAAGGTGCAAAGCCCAGTGTAGACTTCAGCCGACAGCCATGATATGACTTTTCTGATTTTCCATTTATCAAAATAAAATTGTGAACATTTAAAAATAATGTAATGAAAACATATATGTATATATTACCTATTCTGATTTGCATTACAAGTAAAGCTGCCTGTAAAGTAAAACAAGCTTTCAGTGCTTTAAAGCTTTCATCGTCACACAAGAGCAAAATGGATTCGTTGTCAATGCACAGCACAAACTATCCTGCGGACTGTGAGTGCCGGCTGTGAGCTCCCTACCGAGGTGGTTAAATCTCAGTTTTTAATGGGCCTGTGTTTGTGGGCTGTGGCCTTTACAAATGATTTTTTAGCTTTTATTTTTTCCCTCTTAGGTGAGAGAGGAAGACCAGAGGGGCCTGGAGTTGGAGAAGTGCTGTTCCCTTAGGGGGAACAAGGCTCTGGTACAGTGTTTTCCTCCCGTGGGCTTTGTTATGAAGAAAACTTTGGGTGCATTTCACAAGGGCCTGCCAGAGCCAGGGGGGATCTTTCTTATCTCTTCATTGTGAGACTCTGGTGAAGGTCCTGGAGATAAAATGATGAAACTGTGGGTCTCTCAAGACTGCAGCCCCCAAGAGTTTCTCACTTTTAAGCTAGTTCACACCCAGCCTCCAGTAATTCATGCAAATTAGCATTTGTGCCCCTACCAGTTTAAGCGGATCTCAGCTATGACTCTCTGTATTCTCCTGTGTTTTCCAATTTTGGGGTGGCAGTTTGCCCTGCAACCTCCAAGAAATGCCCTTGAATCCTCAGTTTGTTTAGCTTCCTCCTTGTTGCAAGGATGAGAATGTTAATTTTTAAGCTCTTTACATGTTTGAGCTCAAACCAAAATCACCTCATTTATATTTTTAAACATAAATTTATAGATCCATGATGTAACTGTGTTTGGTTAGGCTTAGAAACTGAAGGTCAGTATTTTTAACCAACTTTCCCAAGATACTGTGGCAGGTAAGCTGGGACCAGCTGTTATCAGAATAGGTAACATATACATGCATGCTCCAGCTGAACTCCTTTCTTTCTCTACTCTAGCCTACTGAGGGCCATTTCCTCCATGTTCCTTCTTGCAAATCTTCACATATACCAAAGAAAATTTATTAGTCATGCAGTTCAGCTTGCTACCCAGAGGAATCTAGAAACTTGTGGGGTTATTTGTGGCTCTGTTTTGACAGTTAAAAGAGAGAGAGAGAGGTGGAGGTGGAGGAGGAGGAGGATATAGGACGAGGAGAAGGAGACAAAGGGAAAGATTTTAGTTCTTATACATAGAATTTGTTGTCTGTGAGTCCAAGAGAGAGATTCTAGTATCCATCCTTCCCAATGAGCATTCATCTGATGCTTGAGAGAGATTATCTGTTCACTCTGTCGAAATTGAGGTTTCCCTGGACCCACCAGACTCTCAGAGCCTGGAGGCAGAAGAGGGGAAGAGGATTGTGACTTGAGTCCTCCCTCCACCCCTTGCTGGCTGCGTGACCCTGGGCAAGTAACCAGACTCCTCTGAGACTCAGTATTCTCCTCAGTTAAATAATCTAAACTACTTTTGTAAGGATCAAGGAAAATAACTTATGTAGAACACATGGCACCATGGCTGGCACATGATAAGACCTATTATTATTATTTGTTATTATTAGTCAATATTGTCATTCCAGGCCTCAAACTTGTACGCTTCCTGGTGAATGGATTTCTGGAAGAATAACCTCTTTCACACAGGTATGAGCCTGTGGAAACTTCTTTTATCCCCTTGATCTACTAACTCAGTGACTTTCTTTCTGAAAGGATGGCATTAAAAACATCCTTGCACACAGTGGTGTCCTGGTTCCAGTGTTTGCTCCTTTCTTGATCATCTGCAGGGTTAATTTGTTTTATAAACTTGTTTTGCAGAACTGAAAAAACACCAAACAAACAGAAGAGGCCACGCAGCAACTCAGCATGTGCCAGATCCTCCCTTCCAGCACCTGCCTGACCACAGTCCAAGAAGTCAGGCATGTCCAGTCTTTTCTTGAGCCTTGAAGAGCCTTAAGCAGGGGTGTAAGTCCCCACTCCCCGAGTTCCTGCCAGACCAGATTCCAAGGACTTTGTTAGGACAGACTCACAGAGCAGAGGGAAAAAAAAAATGGAAAATCAACTTACAGAATTAACCCTTTATTTACCCTTTATAATTCCCTATAAAAGCCCCAACCTCTTCAGCTCAGGTCTGGCATCCCCCTCTTCTTCCTTTTGGGTGCCGCACCTTCTTTTTTTCCTCTCTCTCCCCATCTTTTCCTCTCTGAGACAGTAAAATAAACATTTATCTTCATTATATCCTACTCCTTGCGTGAGAAATCTTTCTCTGCCCACGCTGTGAGCCCCTTGGTACACTTCCCACCCTTAAATCACCCTTTCACTTTCCCTTCAATGTCTTAATCTTCTAGTAAATGAGGACTTTGGTTGGTTGGTTGTTTACTGTGTTAGTTTGCTAGGGCTGCCGTAACAAAGAACCACAAACAGAGTCACTTAAATGACAGAAATTTATTTTCCCTTAGTTCTGGAGGTTGGAAGTCCAAGGTCAAGATGTCAGCGGGGTTGGCCTTAGGAGAGCTGTGAGGGAGAACCTGTTCCCCTTAGTCTCTCTCCTCGTTATCTATGTCTCCTCTCATGGCTTCCTCCCTCCATGCATATCTTTGCATCAGAATTTTCCTTTTTTACAAGGTGAGCACTGAACTCTGATCTTTTTCTTTTGCTAAAAACTCCTTCCTAAGGAGGCCAGCTGGGTCAGGCTGACAAATGGTAAATTCCCACTAAGCGGCTTTTGTTAACCAAATAAAGTGGTGGTTTGCTTCCCAACCTGATTCTGGCATGGCATTAACATCACCTAAAAGAAAAGAAGCCCCTATCTTAACTCAAGCATCCTAGTAGGTGCCTATTGTAAATTTAAAGCATCTTAAAGCATCCTAGCAGGTGCCTATGATAAATTTAAAATGTCCTCCTGTCTGGACCTCCCAGAGTGCTCACACCCTTATCTTAAAATAAGCATATCCTTTCTGGTCTTCTAGATAAAGTCTAACTCTCTTAGCCAATGGCCAGCCAAGAAATCTTTAAACCCACCTATAACCTGTAAGCCTCCCCCCCCCCCCCCCCCCCCCGCTTCAAGATGTCCCACCCTTTTGGGCCAAACCAATGTATGCCTCTCATGTATTGATTTGTGACTTTGCCTGTAACCCCTGTCTCTCTGAAAATGTATAAAACTGAACTGTAACCCAGCCACAGCGAGCCCGCTTGCTCAAGGCTTCTTGGGAGTGGCTCCGGGCCATGGTCCTCAAATTTGGCCCAGAATAAACTTCTTTCAAATATTTCAGAGTTTGGATTTTTTCCGTCCACAAAGGACACAGTTCATATTGGATTAGGGTGCATCCTAGTGACCTCATTTACATTTAGCACCTCTGTGAAGACCCTATCTCCAAATGAGGTGGCATCCTGAGACGTCAGGGTTAGTACTCAAAACAGGAATTCAGGGGAAGGCACAATTTAACCTGGGATGATGGCCTTGCCAGCTCTCCACTGGTTCTGGCCCAGTTTGCTCTGTCAATCCTCTTCAGTTTGGGAGGCTTCCAAATTCTCTGTAAGACCCAGTCACCTGCTCCATGCACCTTTCCTGTTTTTAGAAGTTTGGCTCGATTTAGTCTCTGCCGTTGGGTTGTCATTACCTTTTCCGACTCTTTCTTGATCCATCGAGGGGAAATTCTGTCACCAGTTGGCTGTTCCTGTGTTCTCACTGTGTGTTTATCTTGGCTTTTGAACACATTCCAAAAATAATCCTGCGTAACCTGTAATTTTATCTCCACATTGTCTTTTGTTTTGCTCCACATCACTGGAACCATGACAGAAGATTCTCAGAGTAATTCCGATCAGCATATACTCATGACAGCTCTCTAAAGGTTATTTTATTCTTAGGCAGATGCATCTGTAACTTCGCATCTCTCTGTACTCGTGGCTTCCGGCTTCAGAGCAGAAGCCACTTTTGGACACAACATGTAATGCATACATGAAATTGGCTTTGGAATGCTATACATTTGCATGCTTAGACATTTCGTTTAATTCATTTCAACAAATATTTACTGAGCACCTACTAGACTTCAAACCCTGGCCATCAAATAATTCATAAAATGTGGTTGTTGATCTCCAGAAGCTTTTGGTCTAGCAGAGAAGACAGATATGTGCCTTGGAGATTTTTTCCCTCCTTAAAGTTTTATCACGGCTGTTGGTCCAGAGTATTAATGATGATCGGACTTGACTTCGTGGCTTTCTAGTGCTCTTAGGATGTATGTAAAATCCTCAGAGGTGCCTACTAGGCCTTTGAGACCTGGCCTCACCAACCACCTCCCCTGGTTGAGCTCAAGTTACCCTGCTCCTAGAGGATGTTTTCTTACAATGCTGGCGGCCTTTCAGTTGGTCAAAGCTCTCTACTGTCTTTCATTTCAAGATCTAAGCACAGGGCTCTGCCAGGGACATGCTTGCCCATCCCATTTGGCCAACACCTCTTCTTCCTTCTTCCTCTGGCTTTCAGAATAAATACCACTTATTCCAAAGAAACTCTGCTGGGTTCCCCTTCATCTATCTCAGTTAGTTTCTCTGTATTGTCCTTTTATGTCACCCTGTACTTTTCCTTCATAGCATTTATGATGGTTTGTTTCTCCTTACTTCCATGATTGGTTCTTTCATGTTTACTACTTGCACTGGATTATAAGATCCACGGAGGCAGGACATTATTTCGGTTGCTCACTATTCTATGCCCAGCATAGTGTCTGGCACAAAATGGGATCTGTTGTAATTTCTGCCTTTAATCTTTTGTGTCCATCCTCATGTTCTCTGCTTATCAAGCAATTTAGGGTTCCAGCTGGCAGTTACTTCCAGGTCCTCTGCACCCAAATCTCCTGCCTTGTGCCATAGTCACGACCAGAGATCATCTGATCTCCCACTTGTATGGCTAGAGACACGCTATTTGAAAACTTTGTCTGGATGTAGCTTGCAAAATGAGATCCTATGCTGACATTTACATTTTTCCTATTTTTAAAATACACTACATTGAGATAAAGGAGACAAAATCATCTGAAAGTAAATTAAGACTTCGTAAGTATTGTGCCTGCATTTAAAGTAGGTATAATTGAGCAAATAGTAGAGCCTGTTTGGGATGACATGGGTCCCAGTCATAAAATAGGCTTTGTCTTGTGCCAGTTTCAAAAGATTATTGGTGGCTGCCTACAGTGTTATAAAGAGGTTCCTGTATGAGGTCATGTCTTGTCCCATAGTGAAAAAAAATGCCATGATTGATTAGCAATGTCTACTTTGGGCATAGGGAGAAGAAGCAGCATACACAGACCTTACCTTATTGTTTTAGGCCTCAGAATTGGGTTAACTTCTGAAATGAAAATGGAAAATCTACTGAGTGATTTCAGCAGATGCTCAACAAAGGTTTCCCCTGCACCTGCCATATTTTAAAGTTTCTGCATAATTTACAAACAGTAAAATCCACACTTTTTAGGGCTGAGTTCTGAGAGTTGTGACAAACATACACAGTTGTATAACCATCACTACCCAATGCAAAGATGCAGAAGAGTTTTGTCATCTCCCCAAATTCTCCCTTGTCCTGTTGTGGTCAGCGCCTCCCCTTGCCCCCAGCCCTTGGTAACACTAATTTGTTTTCTAACCTTATAGTTTTGCTTTTGCAAGAATGTTATATAAATGGAATCAAAAGTCTATGGCAACAGCACATGTGAAAGTCACACATGTTTTTGCAGACAAACAGGTTTTAATTCAAGGTTGGTTGAGAAATCAGAATGAAATAGATTTCCATTTACCCACTTAAATATATTTATTTAATTTATTGACATAATCATTAATATGCTTAGGAATACAAAGCACTATCTCTAAGCCTGGTCTTTTCCCCTTCTAAATATCTATCTATCTATCTATGTTTATATTGTTGTTTCAAAGTAAGTTATCATGAAACAAATTCTGAATGAGTGCTCAGAGACAGTAAATTCTGGAAGAATACAGAGGAGAGAGAAGTCTTTGTTTACAATTGGAGTTTTTTTTTGTTGCTGTTTTTTTTGGTTTTTTTTGTTTTTTGTTTTTTGTTTTTTTTTAGTAGATGGCATTTGAGTGAGCCTTGAAGGGTGGTTAGGACATTTCTTTAGAAAATATTGATCATTTCTCAGAAAGTGTCAAAGTATTTTTTTTTTTTTTTGCTTCTCAGGGGTTCATCAGCCCTTTCTCCTTTCCAGCGGAAGCTGATGGGCACACACAGCAGCAAAAAGAACAGTCTGGAGGTTGACAGGTCTTACCTTTTTTCACTGTAACAAACATTTACTAACCATATACTAGCTGTAAAATCCAATGCAAGGTGCTCGAGGAATACAAGAGTGAACAAGACATAGTTTTACCTACTTTATTTATTACTTATTTATACTACACTTTTCTGTGTTCTATCCTTATTTTTCCCTTTTCTCTTTTCCTATCTTATTTCATAAAGGACTTGAATCAGCTTCCAAAATTACTTGGAAAATAAATCATCGAAAATGTTGGGACAAAGAGATAACATGGGTAAAAAAATAATCCAGGGGTAAGTTTACCTCCCTCTCCGGAATGTACACCAAATTGTTTTGTAGAGATACTGCAGATGGGCCACAGACGGGGCTGTATTTTTTTTTAGAGGCTAAAGTAAGTAGGGAAATATGCTCAGTTAAAAGATCCATATTGTCCACAAGATAAAGACAGCACAGTTGTTTAAGGTTTTCATCTTGCTGAGCTCAGAAAAAATTTCTCCTTTGGGTCTTCTAAAAAGAAAAAGAAAGAAAGAAAGAAAGAAAGAAAGAAAGAAAGAAAGAAAGAAAGAAAAACACTTTTGATTCAGAGAATAACATCCTGGCTGCTATCCCGGCAATAAATACAAGAGTGGCGTTTGCCTGGTTGCTTCTTCTAGCATCCCTCAATGCAAGCCAATATTGGAGCAGCAGAGTTCAATTCTGTCAAGTAAATCTGACAACAGTCAGAATGATGCCATCCAGATATGCAGCTCTTAGATGGTGTGATTTGATCCAAGGGTAAACTTTATCATTTCAAGAAAATAGATGAATAGCATGTCCTTCAGACAATCTTCCATAAATATCTACTCTCATAAATAGGATTTTGATAGGATTTGGACAACAGAGGCTTATCTGACAAGTAACTAGAATACATCTATTCAGTGTTTGCAGTAAGGGCTGATACACATATCTTGAC